CAGCAGCTGGATGCAATAATCGCATGCCAATGTGCATTGGCTCGTTTAGTTTACACTCGAAGTAGATTGGTCTCTCTAAGCAAGATCCCAATTTGACGTCGAGAGTGACCGACTGAAAGGGAACCTGGAGATATGAGATTAAATATAAAGCAAGAAGATATTGCAATAAAATTGGCGCATATTTAATCTGGCAAAAAACAACCATTCAGATGTGAGAGGGCGGTTTGACTAACATGCTAAACCATCATCAAACTTTGCTTGATTTTATTTGATATTTAGGGGCTGATAATAGGTTGCGCATCAAAACCATTATTATTTTATTAATTTTATTTTTTCTGTTTTCAACTATAAAAATAAATATCAGTTAGAAAAAAGTATATATAAGTATATATAAAGTTCATAAATATAGAAATTTTAAATAATAATAATAATAATAAACATTGTATATATATATCTATATATATATAATAACATACACACATATACACAAAATATTGTATTTAAAAAAATAAATATATTTGATATATAATATAATATTTTATATATAAGTAGTATAGTGATTTTTCTTTTTTTATATATTATAGTTTTCATTTATAATTTAAAATGATTTATTTATAGAAGTGTTACATTATAAATATATTTAAATAAAACATTTTCTTTTGGGAACACATTTGCAGCACTTAATAAAACACACAAAGGCACCTTTCCCCCTTCTGTTCGACCTGAAATCCTTCCAGGATGTATGTCCCCGTTGAGTGCCCTCTTTAATTTTACCTCTCCTCCTGCTCTCTGTCCTCGTCTTCTCTCTCCATCACTAGATAACTGCCCTGTTATCAGCCACACTTCTAATCCTTATAACCATCCCTGAGCCGGGCAGTCTGTTAACGGTAATAACTAATACACAGGCCGAGAGGCAGCATATTGTGGGCTGTGTGTACAGCAGGAGTGAATGTCTGCCTTGTAGGAGCCAAAGAAAGACTGCTTTATAATTGCTACCTCTTCCTTCTCCACTGTGTTTGAGGTCAGTGCTGACATATGTGCAGTAACACCCAGGTTAACTGCTCTCTTCATCTCTTTCTCTCCCTCCATCTCTATTAGCCGCTGCTGTGACAAGAAAAGTTGTGGCAATCGTAATGAGACGCCCTCCGACCCGGTCATCATCGACAGGTAAGAGCTGGATATCAAATGTTTGTGCGTTTCAACATATTTGATCATCAAATGCCTTGATAGACAGAAAGTCCAGTGCAAGTGTTGAAAGTGGCATGATTGAAATGTAGTGAGTTATGAAGGAGAACAGTTTGTCAGGGTAGATTCCATTTTTAATTTGACACAAATAACAAAAAAAGAGTTTGTACAGGAACTTTTTTTTTTTTGCTTTAAGTTTCCCTTCCACACCCCACTTTCCTAAAACAATTAAGACCCAAAATGAAGAAAAAAATAAATCTTTATATCTTTATATTCTATCAGTGTATACCAGTATATCATCCCTTTCAAAAGTTTGGGGTCAGTAAGATTTTTGTTTTTTAAGAAATTAATACTTTCGTTTAGCAGGAATGAATTCAATTGATCACAGATTCCAGTAAAGACATTAATAATGTTACAAGATATTTATATTTGAAGTAAATTCTGTTCTTTTAAACTTCCTATGTATCAAAGAATCCTGAAAAAAGTATGGTTTTCTGTAAAATATTAAGCAGCACATCTGTTTTCAACATTGATAAAAATAAGAAAGGTTTCACTGAATCAGCATATTAGAATGATTTTCATGTGACACTGAAGACTGGAGTAATGGCAGCTGAAAATTCAGCTTTGCCATCACAGAAATAAAGGTAATTTTAAAATATATTAAAATAGAAAACAGCTATTTTAAACTGTAATAATATGTCACAATAATACTGTGTATTTGTAATGAAAAAAAAAAATTACTGACCCCAAACTTTGGATTGGTAGTGCACAAACAAATAACAGACTGCACTTCTTTTCCTATACAACCTGTTTTAATTCATATCAAGTTAAATAAGAGCCTATGTTTAATGCAGTGTTAGCATCACTACAGATATAATGCACTAAATAAATTCAAATCACTTTCAAACAAATCAAAATGACAAGTGTTGCTCTATAACGGCTTTGTGAACACACTCTGTGGCTGCTCTGTATCACTATATACGCTTTATTGCTCAGTATAAAATGTTACAAATCAAAGGCAGCAAAGTTCAAAGAATTCACCATCAATGAGAAAAACAAGCATAAAAAGCCTTCCTGGGACCAGAAGCCATTTGTTTGCAAGAGTAATTGTTTAGTGATCGGGCTAGGCTGTTTTGAGGCCCTGTCGGGGTTGTTGAGTATGTAGTGTGCTCTGAAGTGTGCATGTATGAATAATCAGCAGTGAAGATGTGCAAGACTTCTGGAGGCAGCAGCGTGTGCAGCGAACCGCGTCTCCTACTGTTTTTGTTTAAAAGATCATACAAGCGTGTCACGTTAATATTGAGGGCGAGACTATTACATTTCTGACTCGATCGTGCTGTAGTGCGAGCAAACTAAGCATGGATTTCTGCAGATTAAAGTGTGTTTAAGTGTCAAAGGTGTGTTCTCATCTGTGTGTTAATAAGTCAGTGGCCTGTGCTATCAGATGAACACAGCTGTAGGGTCACTGCGACTTTGCCAGCAATAGTGTAGTGTGTGTGTGTTTGTAACAGCGTAAGAGAGGCTTCTACCTGGCTGCTGTGTCTGTGCGGCTGGCCCATTTCTGCTCCACTGGGCTAGAACGCTTCACAGCTTTCAAAGACAGCTGCAGCCCCCGGCAAGCACAGACGAGCGTGTGCTCCCAAATTCATCAAAAATATGATTTTGAACGTCTTCCTTCCCTTGAAGTTATTTAGCTGAATAAATAAGAGCTCATTAGTGTGGCCTTGTTTCAAAGAGCTGATTAGGTTTTACAGCAGTAATTAGCAAGGCTAGCGCTAATTCCTCTGGAAGAGTAATGAAAGTGATTTCCTAATTAGGTTCCTCTCATAAGACAGCACAACAGGCCACTTCAGCGAAACCAGAGGAATGTCAGGGAAATAAAGCCAACTAACAATGCCTTATTAGATTGTTAAAAGAACAAATCTTACTCGCAGCAGTGCGAGATGTGCGCTCACGGGACCAGGTTCGAGTTCTTGGACTCATTGGGAAGCTTTTGAAAATCTGATTGGGGTCAATTGAATTACTCACGTGAAATTAAAACTGGCCCGCTAGCTAGCTTTCTTCTCAGAGGGTGTTTAGTTTACGTTGGATGGCTGTATCTAATCTCATTTTATGTGTAAATGTATGTGTCGTGATTGACTCCTCATCTTCTCCTTTTCTTCTCCTCTTTTACATTCTGAGCTCTGTTAATGCCCCAGTAAGATTATTTCAAATACTTTAATCTGCTCTCATTGACAGACACAAAAGGCCAGTGACATCTAATAGCAACCCTTTTCACTACCTCCTGTTTCATCTCTTTCACATCCCTTAGAAGCTCTCTCTCTCTCTCTCTTATTCTCTCTCTCTCTCTCTCTTATTCTCTCTCTCTATTTCTTTCTCTCTTATCATTGTGTGTGTTAGGAATAATTGAAGCTCAATAAGCCATACAGTAATGAGGAAAGGTGTCGTTCTATCTCCATGGGAACATTGCAGTTGATGCCTTCATCACCATGGATATACTTAAACACTGATAGTGATTTTGGTGTGCAGAAAGTTCAGAGTTCCCGTGCTAACCGTGGGAGTTCTGTGGTCGTGAGCCCTGACCCCACTGGAAGGCTTTATTTGTGATGTAATCTTCAACATCTGGATATCCACTTCATGAAGAAATAACACAGCAAAGGAAGGAAAACACCACGGAAAGGGTTGATGTGCCCTTACTCTGAATGTTTAATGGAGGTCTTTTGCTCGCAACTATACTGCTGGCTAGATTTGACCTTCTAGAAGAAGACCTTCAGCTCTCATGAAAGCAGAACAGGAAGTAATGTTTCACAGGGTGCTTTCACAGAACCATTTTTGCTCCTGCTCTGCTAGGGGCTGCTCACAGAGGATGTGCTATTTTATTCAAAAACAGTATGAGAATGCAATAGAACATATTTCTAAAAGTTAAACTTCTTTTAAAGTGATATAGCGTCTTACAAACACCGTGCTCATGGATTTAGATGCTGAACAACATCCATTTAACGCTTGTTTACACAATTAAAAATAGCCCAGATAGACGCAATAACGAGTCCTTTGTGAACAGCCCCTTATGGTGCATTATGGAATGCTGCCAATTTATTTGTCATCTGCAGTTTGTTTAAAAACAAAATGATTATATACACTACTGTTCAGAAGTTTGGGGTTGTAACATTTTTTTATGTTTTTGTTTTTTTATTATTATTTGAAAAAAGTTTCTTATGCTCACCAAAGCTGCTTTTATTTGATCAAAACTACAGTAAATCATAAAAACTACAGGGAATGTATATACATTATATAATATTATATGATTATATAAAATTATTATTATTAGCATTTAAAATATCTGGTTTCTATTTTAATATATTTTAAATTGTAATTTATTCCTGTGATAACAAAGCTGAATTTTCAGCAGCTATTACTATAGACAAGTTTTTTGTTTTTTTTTGATGAATGGAAAATTAAAAAGATGAACATTTATTTGAAATAGAAATCTTTCGTAATGTTATAAATGCCTTTACTGTCACTTTTGATCAATTTAATGCACTCTTGCTAAATTAATTATTATTTTCTTTAATTAAAAAAATAAATCTATCTAGTCTGCTGAGCTATAAAGGAGCAACATTTGAGCAATAAAACTGCACCTCAAGACTGGATAGTTGGGAAAGAGACAGTGACAGCGAGCAGCATTATATTCTTGCAGTATGTTTGCATTAGTGGATTAGGGGGCTCTATTTCACAGAGCTGTTCTCTGAATCAGTGGCCAGAGAGTGATCCTCACAGGCTGGGGCTCCCATTGTTAACATAATCCTGTCCGGTCTGTAGACCTATTGTGTGGCAATTAAGACTGAGAGACTGTGGAGAGCTCAGCGTGAGCATCTGTGTGTGTGAGCCATGACAGTAATAGAGTGAAAGAAAGTATTTGCGGTAAACATGTTTCTGCCTTCTCTCCGAAATTAACTGGCGAGTCTTTCACTGTAAAAGAGATACACGGGAAGTGCGAGTGAAGGAAAATGTGTGCGTTGGCCTTTAAAAAGTGTGCGTGACTCTCCAGGCTGGGCTGTCACAGCTGTTGAAAGGTGATGTGCTCTATGCAGTGACAATGTCTCTTCCTGGAGAGAGAGTGTGCGTGTGTGTGTGTGCGTGCATGCGCGTGTTTGTGTATAGGTGTATATGTGTGGCCTACTTAAGCCCAAACGGTGCAGGAATAATAAAAGGCCAAGCTCTGCTGTTCCGAGTTAATACAGGGTTAAAGATATGCAGCTCACTGTCAACAATCCCATCATCCACCTGGATGATTCCCAAAGAAGAGCATGCACTCCTCTCCACTCGCCCGTGCCTGTGTGTGTGGCCGTGTGTGCTGTCCTTACCTGACAACTTTACCATTCTGTCTTTTCTCTCTCTATACAGAGTGCCCACTTTGCTTCTCTGTTGCACTTTTTCTCTCTCTCTCTCTCTCTCTCTCTCTCTCTCTCTCTTAAATTAAGCTTATTAATTATATTTATATTATTTAAACAAAGTAATTAAAACTCCAATCAATTTACTGCTGTAAAACTGTGGCAAGTTGGTATTAGTTACCGCTGTCATCAAAATAAGACAAAAAATTACAATTCTGAAAGTTTTATACTGTTTGAAATATGTTATGTTTGAAATAGATTCCATACACAAAGAATCTATCTCTGTAGCTTAATACAGGTACATTATCAACAAAACACATTTTTTAAAGCAAATTTTATGAAAACATCCTTATAATGACTTAAAAAATGCTTAATGGAAGCACAAAGATATGAATAAAATGTCCAAAATGTGCATAAAAAAGCACATTAAAATGCTTGCTTGAGGTGAATATATTTTTTATTCTGTAAGAATAAACACATAAATACATTTACTTATTATTTATTTCTAAATGCGATGTGACTGCCTCAAAATTGCTTGAAAACGTGAAGTTCTTCAGATCATGATTTTTTCATGCTTTAAACTGCAAGTAA